GCGTGCCCGGCGCTGTAGAGACACCGCCGAGGGGCGCACCTGCGCTAAATCAACACCACCTAAATAGTGTGGCGTTGGCTAAAAAGAGGGACGCCAGGGAGCAGTAGCGTCTGGAAAGGCCCGCTCGGAAATAACCCTTTCAGTGGCGAGTCTTGAGGTTCGCACACGACTCTTAGACAAGGGTGGTCGACGAGCCTTTGGAACGCAAAGGGCATGGCGCCAGATGGGGGGCGAGAGGGGAGGGGCGAGCCCTCCGGGTACTTAACGCAGCGACGTCAGCGCTCGCGTGGGATATGTTGGAAGTCGAATGTCTGTGGGCTATCTCCGGCGCTCTCAAGCACCAGGCAGAGACTGGTTTGGCGTCTGGCCGGGCTGTTAACTTTAATATTTTTTCCTATTTTTTACAAGCTACTTGATGATGAGATATTGAATTATTTGATTGTTACATTTTTAACAATGTGCTCTTGTTTTATGTATTTGTGAGTACATTTCAATATTTTGTTTACAAACTGGGTTAATTCATGGTCAACTACATGCCTATTTACATAAGTACAGTATCGAATTTGAGGAGATGTCATGTCAGGATGTAGAGGTTCGCTGGCGGTCCCGTCCCTGCTCCTCATTTTCTCAGCTGCATGGCTGCATGGTTATGTTATCCACCTTCGGGTCTTTATTGACTCCCGTTCTGCTACGAATCATAGTGGTTCTGTTCTTGTAGGTTTCTCATCAAGTATTGCGCATGAATACGACTAATCCGAACTGAGCGAGCAGATTTTATATGCAATGTTTCGGTCGAGTGACACTCCTTTCCTTATTTCTCTAACGACGGAAATAAATGTGTTATGAGGGAAACAACCTAGAAAATTATATTCTCGGACCGGAAAAACTTGGAAGGGAATCTTGAATCCAAAACGCCAGATCGCTTGCAACCCTGTAAAATCAATTCACATGGCATTGTTTTCGTAGTAATAAAATGCGCTGTATAATTGATGATATATTGAATACTCCAGAATATTCAATAATTGATATATGAGTCATATCAATTCTGTCTCTATTTCAAATATTTTTGTTCAACATGTAACTGGATTGTTCAATTTGTTTTGTTCACAGATTCAATATGTCGAGCAATAAGTCTGGAACGGCAGAGTCCCATGGAAACAGGGGAAACATGGAGTCACGTTCCGATTTCCTTCAATTGCAAAAATGCTCACGGAACATCCAGAACGTAATTGAGGAACGATTACAAGCCATGGAAGAGCAATTTTCAAAAATGGAGACACGCGTTGATACATTGGAAAAACGACCCTCCCTAGAGCAAAGTCGCACGATTACATTGGAGGAATCTGTCTGCGACGGCGTGTTTCCCAAGGTGGATGAGCTGCTGGACAGACATCTCTCACCCCAGCCCTCGCGCGAAGCGGCTCTTGGTCACGTGGCTCTCGCTGTCGCGTCTACCGCCCCCAACTCAACAGCACCAGCCAACACCGACTCACCAGTCGGGATGCCTCAACAAAATCTCCAGCATGGTCTACTTGCCGGGGGAAGCAGAGCTTTGCCACAAGCGAATGCTTCAGCCAGCACGAAACCGACTGAGTGCGCTCTCGTTACTGATGGAGGGGCGACGGTTCCCCCCGCGCCATCCAGCGAGGGCGCTGCGCCCGCCTCCAGGCCCTCGGCACCCCCTCCGTCGGCAGCTTCCGGCGCGACCAACCCTCCG